CATCTGATATTCAACAAAGAATCCTCGGATCTCCTCTCTAAATTGTATAAAATGTAATGCCATTTTAAAGGAAAATAAGCTCTCAGTGGACTGTATAGCTACTTTGAAATTTCAACTGCAATATTCCAGGCTAATTCATAATTATTCAATGCATTTTCCATTTACAACTTTACACTGTCTCGGTATAATAGTCTCGTTTATGTTTTTTTTTATGGCATAAACTGGCTATGAAAAGGACACTACGCATTTTGCGATGACTACTAGACACGTCGTAACTTGCGACGTATTGTAAGCCGTTGACAACGCGTTCAACACATCGCAAGTTTCGTGAAATGGATCATACGATGCATCGCGGGTTGCGACGTGTTACACGTCATTAACTGGGTTGCAACGCGTCGCAGCGCTTCGTGAAATCGGGTGCAGATGCATAAAAGGACCTCTTTGAATCAAATTAAATAAGTTATCCCGCGAGCGCGAGTGGAACAAGGAATAATGAAGTGCGTCTGTGTCCCACATACCACGAGGCCGAAAGTCGAGTGGTATGTGGGACACAGACGCACTACATTTTCCGTGTTTCACGAACGCGAGCGTGATAACTTATTTATCTTCAAGCATACATGTACTTGACGCACAGTAAAGATGGAACACACACGCTGTAAACAAACTTTTCAGCGGATATCCTATTGCACGTGCGTGTTGTACGGAATGGCACTCGTATCTTAGAAAAGCGCAATACGCGGAGTGCGGTATGGACCGAGGCCGTGCTACATGGTTATATGTAGCACGGCTTGTTGCCATGGATCGACCAATCAGGATCGAGGATTCAAGTTTACTTGAAGATAAATTATGATGTACATGTACCTGTATGACAAATTGCACTGTGGACCAAAATTAATCAGGTCATCATCAGCAACAATATCAAATATCGGAGCTAAAGTTACGTAGACAATTGGTCCAATCTGGGTCTTTTCAATGTGTGAGACTCACTAGGAGGTACCTGAACTCTGACCGCAAATATAAAAGAGTAGATCTGATAACAAGGGATATTTATTAACTGATATGGATGTAATATTATTTTCAACTTGTCCTTTGTCATTCAAGAGCGGGCAGGGTCAAAGTTCCGTGTGTGTTTGATGATAAAAGTACAAGTTACTGGGTTCCTTCAACTGATACCTTCGCTTGATACGCAACAAAGAAAAGAACGTACATTTTGGAAACTAGCAAGAATACACATATGGTAATTTAACAACCATTTTCTATCGGGGCATACAGACAACTGACAATAAATTTGACATGAAACTTTATGGCGTGTTTTTTTTTGCAATGTCTACATTTGGTCGTTGGAGTTGGTTTGAGCAAACTGACTAGACTTTGAAAATGTTGAACACAATGTCGGCGGTCTGGATGAAGTTAACCTGGCTTAACCATTCAGCAACCAAACTGTCTCTCTTTTTTTTGCACCCAATCCTCTGTGTTTGGAGAATTTCCTATTATTGAGGCAAATTCTGTGATTTTGTTAAAGGGAATGTACAACATTTGCTTTTGCTGTAATTTTCAGCAATAAATGGATTTGGAGGATTAGTATGTTATAGAAAATATTGTTAAACTGACTTGTTTCATGTTTTGGGCTTGTAAATGCTGGAAAAACCAAGAAAACCTATCATGTTCTTGTAGTCTGGTTCCCTGACCCCATTTAAAATGAAACAGAGCAATTAATACACTTGGGGAATTGTAAGCTCAGAGAATCAGTCTAGCAGGCTGGTACCCCTTCACAGGTGTGTAATCAATTGCAAAGAAAAGTCAGAATAACTAAATATGAGAACAGTTTTTGAAAAAAGCCAGTTTTCTCCAACGCTGGTCGGCTGACCAGCGCTGGAAAAATACAGTTTTTTTTTTTGAAAACGTCAGCACACCTGGAGCCATGATTTTAAAGGATGATTTAGACTGTCAGTCCCTAACAATTCAGTAAGGTATTTTGTGATAATTTGATCATTTTGTTTTTTGATGTTTGCAAATGTTGTCTCTTCCCATTAATATCACACAAAATGAGTACCCCCTCAACGGTAAGGAAGGGAGAGTTGGGGAGACCACAGGGAGAGACGTTGGTGGTCGAACGCATCGCCGATGACGCCTGATGCTCATGTGAAGACACTGAGGCTTTGTGAACATGGTTAATTAAGTTAGTCATGCGAACTTTTGCACCATACACCCGCGAAACAGTATGCGCATGGGGTGTGTCCCGTCTACTGGGTTCTTGAAAGTGTTAAAAAAAAACACCCACTCTCCTTTTTGCACGGAGCCCATACACGTACACGTTATATGCATGGTCACTGAGATAAGACTCTGTACTGATGACGTCACACTTTGCTCTAACAAGAGCTACATGTAACTTTTGGGTACTCATACAAAGGGATCAATGGTATCCCACAAGTCGACCTTTGTTAAATGGTAATCCGGACGGGAAATTTGAAAGAAGAGGGTTAACCCTAACTGAACTCAACCTATCAAAGCCCAACAGCAGGTTTTGTTGTAATCTGTTAGGATACATGTAGGTACAGTACCCCTAAACTGGTGGTCTTTTACACTGGGGTTGGCATACCTCCAGAAACTAAGTCCAACAGTGTGTGTGAACGATTTCCCATGTGGGTGTTGGAATTTGCCTGGATGGGTATGGTTCCTAGTAAATTATGCTAGGGAGTTAGGGTTAAAGAGGAAACAATGCAAGTACCGGTACCCAATAACCCCCATCCGCACGGTTGCATGTTGACACGTGTGATTTTTTTACGCAAGTACACGTACCAGTACCCCATCAACCCCATCTGCACGGTTGCATGTTTACATGTGTGCTTTCTTATGGGAGCAAGGTGGGGATGACGGTTCCGTAGCCCCATAGACAAGTGCACACGTCAACAAAGTGTGACGTCATCAGTACAGAAGCTTAAATTGCAAGACTGTAAATGGGTTCTGATATCTCTGCAGAAAATTTGAGGTACATTGTCTACAATGTACAATGTATGTTCAAGAAAGCCAATTTATACATGTACTGGTATGTTTTCAACAATTATAAGACCCAGGAAATCATTATAATATAAAATCCTGTAAATGGTATCTTTGTTGTCTGGAAGCTTAAAAGCCTGTAGATTTACATTTTCGAATAACTGAGTATTCGATAAATCCCACTTGGACTCGAGCGAATATTCAAGAAATTTTGAAAATGCACCGATCAGATTTAATCAGCGTCATCCTACAGCATTGTACAGTGGCAGCTGATCGGGATCTGTGTGCTCCTGCACAAAGAGATTATTAAAATAATAGAAAGAAGAGGTAGCAGACTGGCAGATTTTTTTGACAGATTTTAAAGAGAACCTTTTTTTGAGCAAATATTTCTCATGGAAGCTCCTAAATTATACGCAAAAGTGACTTTCAACAAAATTGTGGCATTTGATACACAAAAAAAACAACACAAACTTTTTTCATCATCTCCTTGAGACTGCTATTTTTGAATTAAAAAATAAAATGACATTTTGAATGTTCGAATTCAGCAAAGCCCTAGAAGTTCTTTTTTACCCAAAGTGACTTGGAAATCCTTCAGCTTTCTATGAGTTGTTAATACGTGTTGAAAAATGCTGGCTTCTATTCAATTGACCTATCGTGGTAGAATCGTGTTAGAATCGCGTCAACGCAGTTTGTGAAATATTGTCCAATTACATGTACATGACATACAAATGGTTCGCGGAACGCACAAAATATGAGACAAACAAAACTCCATAGGGTTGTCTAAGGGGCGTGGTAACTCGCAAACGGCGGTACATGTAGGTCAATACCCTGCGCCCTGCAACAATCATTTACTTGTAGTACCTTTGAAAGCACACCATAAAATATACATTACTGGACCAACTTAAACTTCAGTTTATTACATGTAAAGCCATTTTCTTTAAACATGCTTTGAAGTCTGTCTTGCGTCCGTTGCATACTTTAGCCTTAAGCACTGAATTCAAAATGGACTGAAATGCACTAATGGTTAAAAGTTGCTGAAGTGATCTTTTAAAAAACCCATGAATTAGCCTTCCCAATCCCACACGGCTGAAGACAATGTGAGTGAGTGGGATGCATTTAACCTTTAGTTAAGGATCGACACTCTCATGCTAGCACTAGCAGGAAGGGCAAGGACTATCAGTCTAGTCTGGAGGCCTCTCATGTGATAGAACACTCTGCACGGCAGCCATATTGGAGGTACGGTGCTTCTGTTCTACAGGGACAAGGGTGGATCCAGAATCATTTTTTTTGGGGGGGGGGGTCAAGGGGGCTCGCCAAGGGGGCTCAAGCAATTTGGTAGCTAATGGCTGAGATATCCAACATTTTAATTTATTTCCTGAACATTAAAAGGGAAAAAAAGGGGGAAGAAGGGTTTTTTTGGGGGTGGGGTGGGGCCAACGTTGCCGTGAAAATTACAGCTTCGTCTTTGTCTTATGAATTGGGCTTTCATATCCTAGATTTTGAAAGTGCTACAAGCAGAACTTCACTAAAACAGAAGTCCCGACATTTGGGTTTCGCTTTTTTTTACTCACCCTGTATGTACTTTACATGTATGTGTGTCCATGTCCATGCACTCATGACTCAGACTTGAATCAAATGACTCAACACTCAGACTCTGACTCAACCAAAGAGATGCCAGACTAGGACTCGGGCTCGACCCAAATGACTCAACACTCAGACTCCGACTCGACCAAAGAGACACCAGACTAGGACTCAGACTCGACCCAAATGACTCAACCCTCAGACTCCGACTCAACCAAAGAGATGCCAGACTAGGACTCGGACTCGACCCAAGTGACTCATGTTCTGCTCAAGCAACATAAAATCTTATGATGTACTTCAGTTTAAGAGAATGGTTTGGACAGTGTAGGCTTCTGCTTGTGAGTGATCCTGAAGCTTGAAATCAACTGAAATAAGAGACAAAGCCAGAGTTTTGGAAAGCCTCGTAATTATCATGAACTCACCTTGATCGACATCCAGTATCCTCATCAGCCACTGAACTAAATCAGCACCTGTAAACATGGTCAGGAAAGGCAGAGACAAAAATATCAACATGGACATGTCAGTCAGTCTTCATCCATACCAAGCAGTCAACCCCCCCTTCCCCCTGCCCCTCCCCCTGCAGCCCCTCCCCCTCCCCCTGCGGAGCCCCCCCCCCCAAGCTGACTGGAAAAATTGAGAATTACCCCCATGCTGAAAGAATGGTGCAGCACTCTTAAAAACTATGCGCTACATGTTTGTACGTGTATAAAAAATCATTTGAGCTGCCCTCACCTTTTAAGAAAATCCCCCTACCCCTTACTTTTGCCTGAAGCCACAACTATAAATTACAAAACCACCCACTCTCTTCATGATAAATGTTAATTATTATTATTTACAGACACGTGATTGCCAACTGATTGTATCTACCGGTAATTGCCTTAAGTTCCTTGCGTGATATCATCACTCAATCACTCAATATTGCAAATCTTGATTCATTGTTATTTGGGGTCTTTCATTTTTTTATGTGCATGTATTGACTTCAACGCTGCAGCTCCCCCCCCCCCCCCCCCCCCCCCCCCCCCGCGCTTTTGAAAATCTCCAAATCAAGACCCAAGCCAGCACCTTGGGAAAATCCTGCACCCACAACTGTTCCAAAGCAAATGCTTGGTGGTGCACTGAATAGTGAACTGCTTCAGAGCCATTGCTGAAGGCACACAGGATCATTCAAAGGCAGATCCAGAGAGGTTACTGCCGGGGGTGGGGTGGTGGGGGCCTTATTTGAGAAAATTTCGGTCACTGACGGGGGGGGGGGGGGGGGGGGGGAATCAACCACTGTAATTTGACTTTATCCCAAATTATCAAAAAGCTTTCTTGGATTAAAGACCATACTGGTACTAAACACCCTGTGAAATTATTGCTGTCATTTAGATGAAATTGAGAAATATGGGAAACAATTTGTCCATTGACTGATTTTTGGAAATAAAGAGTATGTTTTGTGGTCAACAAGTTGTGCAGGTTTTTTTCACTGCTTTCTGCCAAAATGTAAAGCCTGCTGAGCTGAAACCGCGACAGGTTAGGCTTTGAACATTTTTCTCTGGATTTTGAGTGGTGTACTTAATAGAAATCAACAAAACGCATTAACAGCAAATGATCCGATATGCTTTGTAAAGGCCACGCACCTGTGAAGACACTTGGCACTTTGGACATGAAGCTCTTGACTGTACGGACTGGCACGCCGTTCTTCTCATCCTGCATCTTTTGTATGAGCTTCTCCACCTGTGAACAAAATGAGAAATGCAAGAGTTATGCTTTAAAAGCCATTTTTTTTTTTTAATTAAACAAAAAAAATCACAACATTTTTGGTTCAAGGTAAATTCTCATGTTTTCTGCTATACAATTATGATAAAGAAGTCATGTGAGCAAAAGCATCAATCAATCTGACAGCATACCGGTACACGTCGGATTGACAAAGTTTGTAATGAATTTGTTAAAATTAAGGTGCGCAATCTCTTTTGCACCCCCAGAGCACACAGGTGTCTACCAGTGCTGTAGTCAACTCCATTATGGGCTTCATGCACCAACAAAAGAGGGCGCTTTTTACCACTTTCGAGAACCCCATGGATGGGACACAACGCACACGCGTACCGCAGCCAATTTCACCAAACATTGCGTAGCTTATGCCATTCCGACTTCTTCCGAATCTCAAAAAAGTCTTTCACAAATAAAATAGCAGTTTGTTCACCTCAAACAAACAGCTATTACTGTCTTGTATCAACCTTGATAAGTTGTGCAGTAACAGGCTCCATGATGATCATGATTTGCTACTAAAATAATTCACTGTCACTTCGCCACAACTTAAGCCACCTAAAATGATTGCTCAAGTTGCACCATAATTTATTGTGGAAGTGGTGGACTTCCGCGCTATGGAAGTTTTAATAGTGAAATGTTTCATACGTAAAATGTTGCGCAGCGTGAAATGTTGCGCAAATTTCGCAATAAATTGTTGCGTAAGGGGAGTTACGCCATTGGGTAAAGTTTCTCAAAATCAACTGCATATAACTAATTTTATTCTAAATATGCACAAAGTTATAGTGTCTTCGCGTGAGCGTCAGGCGTCGCCGATGCGTTTTAATGTCTCTCCCAGTGGTATCCCTTAACTCTCCTTTTCTTACCGTTAAAGGGAATGTACATCATTGGCTTTTGCTCTAATTTTCAGAAATGAACTATTTGAGGGGTTAGTATAATAGATCAAATATTGTTACACTGACATGTTTGAAGTTTTGTGTTCGAAAATGCTGGAAAAACCAAGAAAAACAAAAATGTTCAAGTAGTCTGGTTCCTTGACTCCACTAAAGATAAAATGGATCAATTCATAGATGCCGGAAAATTGTAAGGTAAGGGAACCAGTCTAGCTGGCCTGCACCCGTTCATGAACATGTTACAAATAGCAAACAAAATTTGGACTGAAAAAAGTGTAAAGTTGGAGCAGTAGATGAAAAAATAGTTAGGTTTTTCCAACGCTGGTCGGCTGACCACCGTTGGAAATGTATACAAAAATACCATTTTCTTGAAAATGACTTCACACCAGGTGACATAATTTTACAGGATGCTTTAGACTGTCATTTACCAACATCCTAGTAAGGTATTTCGTAAAAACTTGGTAGTTTTATTTTTCGATGTTTGCAAATGTTGTATATTCCCTTTAAAGGCGGTACTTGTGCAGGAAACCCATAAGTCCGGTCAAAAAAAAAAATCATAAGTTCAACCACACGTAACAGGGGAAGAAATTAAAACAACGAAGAAATGCCGTTGTCATGGTTCCTTCGAACAGTTTGTGACCTGGCTTGGGACTGGCTAACTTACGATCAGCTTGTGATAAATTTTTCGAAAAAACTTGAAAGGAACCTGTGATTATCTCACCCATGTATAACACTAGACAGTCCTCTGAACAGGGAAATTGAGGAACAGCCCAAAGATTTTAAAGGGAAGATACAACTTTTGCAAATATCAAAAAACGAAATGATCAAATTATCACGAAATGCATTACTGGATCGTTAGGGAATGACAGTCTCAAGCATCCTGTAAAATCGTGGCACCTGGTGTGCTAACATTTTCAAGAAAAATTGTATTTTTCCAAAGCTGGTCGGCCGACCAGCGTTGGAAAAAACTTCTTCTTTTTTTCAAAAACTACTCCCAATTTTTCATATTTAGTAATTCCGAATTTTCTTTGCAGTTGATTACACACCTATGAAGGGGTACAAACCTTCTAGACTATTTTTCTATACCTTTCAATTTCCCCCAGTCTATAAATTGCTCCGTTTCATCTTAAAGGGTGTCAGGGACCAGACAACAAGAACATTTTGATTTTCTTGGTATTTCCAGCATCTACAAGCTCAAAAGTGAAACAAGTCAGTTTAACAATATTTGCTTTAACATACTTATCCTCCAAATCCATTTATTTCTGACAATTGCAGCAAAAGCAAATGTTGTACATTCCCTTTAACCACAAGGTAGAGAAAAACCGCATACTGTTAAGTAATTGAATATTTCACTGTTCGCTTGTTCTGTGTAATTAATCCTGTCTTTATGATTTGTCCATCAATAATAACGGATTTCTGTATAATCCCCTGGATTCAGAATAGCTTCCACAAATGCTGTTCATGTCACTTTATAACTTAAATATCATGATTAAATTTTGAATTGTGTTACATGTTTATTAGAGTCATACATCTGTGTAAAGTACAATATGTACACATTCGGGACGCACATACATGTACATGTAAGTGTACAGAACATTTTAGAAATCCATTACTTAATTAAATATCATTATTTAATTTAAATTGTGTTACCATGCGTGACAGAGGCAATAAGCGACATGTACATGTACAGTATACATGTACATGTGTACATTGTACATCTGTGTTAAGTACTGGTACCTAGGCACACACATAAATGTACAGTACATGAACCTGTACATATTTTAGAAATCCATCTTACATTAAATATCATTATTAAACTTTGAATTGTTCTACATGTATGTGTAGAGACATAAGAGACATACAGTATGGTGCAGTATGCATGCACTTTAAAATGTACTATACAATATTATAGAATACATGTACATGAAGTGAACATGGGACATTCGTACACTTCGCTAGTATTCCCAAAACCCATCTACACACTGTACATGTGCATGTATGCATTTTACAGTACACCGACACTGCAACAATTGGCATTACTTATTCCCGGATTCGAGAAATAAATTGGTATCCATGACAACGCTGCAAGTTCACTGACATGCACTGTCTCCATAAGAAAAAAAACTCCACAGAATTGGCTAAATTTGCTGGAGACTTAAGTGCAAATACCCCTTGCCAAAAAAAAAAAGGAAAGAAATCCTAGGAAGACGAAGACTCAACGTCGTCGTTTTTTTTTATCTGTGGATGACCGACAAAGTCTTTGGATTTTTTTCCGAAGGAGTGAATACATGCGTCCTGCTGCTCATGAATTATGATCAATTGGACAGTCAAAAAAAAATAAAAATTGGGGAGCATGTAGAGTTAAGGTTACCCTGCATGATTGAGCTTTCTAGCTTGTCTGACAAATGACACCGCGCTATTAATAGACTGAGAATTTTCCCCTTATTTCTCACCTCACATTTTATGCATTCTCCGAGGAAGATCTATTGTTTGTCGGGTTTGATGGCGCAGGCTAGCCGGGAGGCATTTTCCCTTTTGCGTCTTTTAATGCATTGGTTGGTCGCCTTCCGTGCTAGCCGCGGCAACAAAAGCCTCAAATCGCAACGGCCAATTGTTCATTCACTGCACCGGCACGTGAATCAAAGAGCAGGCTTTTGCCAAACCAACAGAAATTAATCTTCACGAGATATTCTATCAACAACAAAAAAATCCTGCTGAAATGCTATGAATTTACAGAATAACAGCACAGAGATGATGGCAGACTCCCCTTTAAAATGTTATTAGTAACCATGGATTTGCCTATTGTGTGCATCTTTTTTTGGTTTTTCGCTCACTGTTCATGACACAACCAGTGATATAATGACGCACATGCTTCAAGGATAAACTGTACAAAAAAAGCTGCACAAGAGACCACAAGAAGTTAGTTGCACACACGTACATTGTACATTTACGCCATAGAGCTACATGTATATTAAATTACTAGAGTGCTAACTCGTCATTCTGTACGAGGAGATGCTTTGAAGCCGTCCTGGGTGCAGGCATTTTGAATTCATGTGCGTGTTTGTAGAACATAATGAAATTAGATGGATTGAATTTTGAAAGTTTACTCTACATGCAACGCGCAAGTAGAACACACGCAAACAACTTAAGCGCGTCATTGACTGTTAAAAAAACATGACGGCAAAAATCATCTGCATGGAATACGCGCACGCGTTGCGCTGTTTGCGTAGAGCAAAATGACACGCACATTTGCTGATCGTGCGTTTCGGTTTTGGGCGTATTGGCTTCGATAACCCACCGGTATGGAATAAAAACGCAGATATGCAAATAGCCATACAACAGCCGTACAAAATTTCTAGGTCTCCATAGGTTTGTGCACAAACATGGATGCGTCCAGCAGGCATTACTTGGTACACGAAGTTAGCGCTCTAGTAATTTAACATAGCTCTATGATGTACGCGCATCTGCCATGATTCAGCTAGTACATTTCCATGAGTTTGAGGAGTACATGTACGACTACTTTGCCATGGGCCCATGAGTATGACTACTTTGCCATGAGTACGAGTACTTTGCCAGGAGTACAAGTACTTTGTCATGAGTATGAGTATGCCATGAGTAGAGTATGAGTACTTTCCAACAGTATGAGGAATTTTCAATGGGTGCAGGTGTTTTAAAGGTTTTTTGGCCGTCAATTATACTAGACATCAAACAAAATCAGAATGTAACCTCCAAAACCGTAGAAACCTGGTTCTTTTCCCGTGTGTAGTTATGAAGTTTTTTTCTCCAACCTTACCATCGTTGTGTGGACCTGAAGAAAAAAACAGGTCCACACAATGCAGGTTGTGTGAACCTTCTGTGGACTAAGCCAGGTCCACACAAGGTTTCCCCCTTTCTGAAAAACAGGTTCAGAGCCATTTGGGGGTTAGGGTTAACATCGTAAAATGAAGAAGTACATTCAAGGAAATTATGATACAAAATTGGGTTGACAGAAATTTCACAGAACGAGTTAAAGTAATTTTTTTTTTCTCAACACGGTACCGGTACATGCATGTACATGTAGGGTAGGTCATGTGCGTG